TGGCTCGGTGAGGGAGGAAGGGAAGGCATTGGGACAATCGGGGTTCTGCCTGCGTTAAGGGGGTGGGGGGACAATTCCCAGCAACAGGCTTGCCCATGGGGTAGAACTGGCTTGGAGAGAGGTGAGATGCAAACCCCTAGCTCGGCCGGGAGGCGCTGAGCTCCAGCAGCAAAGGTGCCGCCTCAGCCAGCCGGGCCTCAAGGTTGGGGGAGGGGTCCCTGGTGGCACCAAGTGGGTAGAACTACCTGGTGGGCTCATCAAAGAACATGACCGGTGGGTTGTTGACCAGCTCCAGGGCGATGGCCAGGCGCTTCCTCTGGCCGCCGGAGAGCAGGGCTGTCCTCGTGTGGGAGCAGGACATCAGGCCCAGTGCCGTCAGGATCTCTGTCACCTAGCCAGCCCCACCCCCACCCCCACGTCAGCTTAACGGTCACTACTTCCTTGGGTCATCACCCGACTGGAAGCAGCACCTCCCTCAAGTCCACCGTCCCAGCCTCGGCCATCACGCTCCCACCCTTCCATGTGTCCGTAGACCCCCAGGGGGAAGCCCTCCCCTTCCCACTCACCAGTTCCTTCTTCACTTCCTGCTTCTCGCTCAGCTTCAGGTTCGCAGAAACCTGCAACCGGAGAGTAGCTTACTCAGGTGTATACAGGCGGGGTGGGGGGGTGGGGGAATGAGAAGACGGGCATTTCGCCCTCACCATCATGGCTTCCAACACCGTGAGATGCGGCAGCAGCATGTCGTCCTGCATAATGTAACAGGACATCTTTCGGAAGGTTCTCAGCTCCCTCGGCCTCCCATTGACCAGGATCTGCCCCTTCATGCCAGACTCCCTAGGGGACCATTGGGTGACAGTGAGCATGGGCCACGCCCACTTCAGGAGACCTCACCTGCCCCTCCAGGGCTCCTTCCCGGGCCCTATCCCCACCCCCATCCTCCTTTCTCCTCACCTGTACCCTGCCAAGATGTTCATGAACGTGGACTTGCCAGCCCCTGAGGGGCCCATGATGCCGATCAGCTCCCAGTGGCAGAATTTGCCTGACAGGCACTTAAGTAGAGTCTTATAACCTGCAACGAGTGAGAGAAGAAAGTTCCCTGGGGGCTACAGTGAACAGGGGCACCTCGAAACCCTTAGGAGCCGCTCTGCTGCAGGTGACACAGGCAGCCCCCACTCCGTGTGACTGGGTTGGGATGGAGAACTCTCCCACATCCTCTCCTATGCTCCCCCTAAAAGTGACCATCACTTATGTCAGCGTCCCAGAGGCCATAGAATGACCCACACGTCTCACTGCAGGTCAAGGATGTAGACGCTTCTCCTCTTCCAGAAACACAGCAGCCACTCCTGGGCCCCCTTCAAGAAGACTGACCGGGTTAACTCTTCCTTTGTGCTCATATACCGTATGTTTGTTACTCGAGATACCTGCTGCTGACTTCCCTTCCTGAGCCTCTCGGCCAGTGAAGTTCTTGGGAGCAGGGTCTGGGCCTTACTCATCTTTGTAGCCTCACCAGCCTGAGTAGCATGTAGTAAGTAGGTGCTCAGTATTTGTTCTATGTGGGTGGGTCCACTGAGCTTCCACCTCGTTCTGGAAAAGCCTCTGACTTTGTGCTCACCTGCCCACCAGGCCAGTCTTCCAACCCTTAACACGGCCAGGAAAACGGCAGCTTTCATTCATTCATTCATTCATTCATTCATTCACTGGGAGGCAGCATATGCATTGAGAGTACTGATTTGAAGACAGGTGGATCTGGGTTCAAATCCTGGCTCCACACTTACCAGCTATGTGACCTCAGGCAAGTTGCCTAATCTTTCTGAGCTTCAGGCCCCTCATCTGTCAAATGAGGATGATGGTTCCTATCTCATAGGGTTGTTGCAAAGATTTGATGAGATCATATGTATGTAAAGCATATGACACAGAGCTTGGCACATTATAAGTGACAGTTTGTCTCAGGAGACACCTGGGCCGACAGGCATCACATAGTTCGCAAAGACAATGTGCTACATCCTACTTTGATGAGTAGCAACTAGAGTCTTAAAAAAAACTCATGAGCAGCTACCTAAGGGTGGCAATTGATCTCGTCCCATCCAGAGGAAAGAAGGATGATGAAGATGGAAACATAAGGAAATCTTTAGTCCGATGGACTAATGAATCATTCCAGTGCCAGCCTCCATGACCCTGAGTCCAAAGAAACTAGATGGTGCCCAGCTACCACTACCAACCGCTCTGAAAGGTCTGCCTTAGAAGGTCTTGGATAGAGTGTAAGGAAACTGTCGAACAGAGCCTAAAGTCATGAAAGAGATAGAGACTGGTAGAACCCTCGAGACCATGGCCCTGACTCACCCTTCAGGTGTGGAACTGAACTCATCCGTTAGCACAATCAACCACTTAAGATCCAAAAGACAGTGTTTCCCCAAGGACAGCATTCCGAGGGTTAGGAAAGGAGGAGGGATGGACACAGGAAACCCAGGGAGGAAGTGGGAGAAGGGATTACAACGGACAAGTTGGAACAAAACACTGTGAACTGCTGGAGGTAAAACTGATGGTCTGCTCTGGAGGCCTTTGCCTAATTCAAACCTAAGAGTGCGACTTTTAAGTGGTATTGATTACCAATTACACTTGGCAGATGTTTATCGATACCTGCTCTATGTCACGCTCTACAGCAGACAGACACACTGAACAAAAAAGGAAGAGATTCAGGAAAACACGGTTCCTAAACCCAGAAGGCCATGGTCTAGGCCAGAAAGATGGCCAAGCAGACATCTATGGTTGGAGGAAAAAGGACATATAGGTTATAATAGAAGTATAAATGGACTGCTTTGAGGAGGCAGACAGCGAAATCAACAGCAGGAGGCGGAGTCAGAGGGAAAGTCATGATCGAGGAAGCATTTCAGTTCAGTCTTGAAAGATGAGCAGGATTTCAAAAGACCGAGGTCCTCCAGGGTTGAGGGGCCACTCGGCCGTTGTACAGGGGTACGAGGGCATGTTAGGGGACAGAAGGTGAGGCAAGCGGAGTTACCTGGGGAAATGGCAAGGGAGACAAAATCAGCAAGGAGGCCCTCGAGTGCCTCGGATGAGGAAGAAATGCCAATTTCCCATTCCAGAACCTTCTTCACTGCTGACGTCCTCTGACCCCACAGAACTCAAGTCCTCTACCTTCGTCAGCCTCCCTTCAGAGCACCCAGGACTGGGCACTGGGCCCAACTGTCCATCTGGATTAGGTATATAGAATGTATCTAGATTGGCTGTGTGCTGTAGGTCTAAGATTCACTGCTGTGTCCCGATCACACCAAATGCCCGGATTGTGTCTTACAGCTTACAATAGCTCATTATCTCATCTGTTCCTTTAACAACATAGGTGAGGCCAGTAGGGCCCAGGATATCCAGTGAGTCACCCAAGGTCACACAGCAAGTTCTCCACATGGAGAGAGGAACTCACAGATCCCAAGACTCTGCCTCAGTATTCATCCCTGTCAGCCAGAAACAGGTCTGATGGTCAGCTCCAGCGTATGCCTCTCAGAGACACAGGAAGTGACTGGTATGGGTTTTATTCTTTTGCAGGGAAAGAAATTGGCAATGAAAAAATGTCCCCTTGTTTAATCACAGCCAAGCACTTGATTGAACAGGATACATAATACAAATATCATCTTCCACAAGACATTGGCAGATATTATCTCAGCTGAGCTTTATAACAAGCCCGGACAGTGGATTTTCTGATCAGCCCTTGTTACAGAGAAGACAAGTGAGGTCAACAGAAGATGAAGCAGGCTGCCCCACACCGCATTCCACAAGTTCTCAGCCTGGAAGGGGCACTGGGAGCCTTCAGGCTAGGGAGAGACCAGTCCAGGGACCAACCACTTTGATACTTCACCCCAGAAACAGCAAGTTATGTTCTCTCCTTTCTCTAAAGGAAAGACTCTTAACCACAGGTCCATGGCCCCATAGGCTATCAGAGGGTCCAGAAACTCCTGGAAGTGATGTGCAAAATGTTGAGTGTGGGCGTGCAATCTTCAGGGAAGGGGGCTGGGGCTTTGGCAGATTCCCAAAGGAGTCCCTGACTCCAAAAATGTTTGAGTCATCGCTGTAAAGTAAAAGCTGGCCTCCAACAAGAGGAAGAGACGCAACACTCCCATCATTGAACATCAATACCAACATCGCAGGATCCCAAGATCCAAGTTCTAGTTCTGCCTCAGTCTATAATAACTCTACAATTTTGCCAAGTCGCTTAATCATTCATGGCCTCAATCTCCTTGCCTGTAAAATAAGGATAGAAATATCTTCCCCCAAGGGCTTAACAGCCTTATCATAATTATTAATTTAAATCACAATAATTAATCAGGCAGTGTTTTGAGAAATTATAAAGGCCATATGTAAAAGGTCACTGTGAGTCAGAATTAACTCAACAGCAGTGAGTTTGGGGTGATAAATCCTTACCCAAAGAAAGCAGATCTCTCTCTCTCTCTCTCTCTCTCTCTCTCTCTCTCTCTTTCTCTCCACACGCCTGGTCCTATGAACTCTCTGCTTACCCCTAATTGCCTTCTTGGAGCGCTGGTGGTGCAGTGGTTATGCATCGGGCTTCTAACCTCAAGGTCAGTAGTTTGAAACCACCAGCTGCTCCTCAGGAGAAAGACAGGGCTTCCTACTCCCCTAAGGAGTTACAGTCTTGGAAACCACAGGGGCAGTGCCACCCTGCCATACAGGGTTGGTAGGGGTGGCATTGACTCGATGGCATAAGTTTGAGTTCTTAATCTCCTTCTTTTCTCTAGAGATGTCAGAGAGGTGAGGGCGGGCAGCAGTGAAAGGGGCAAGGGACGGAAGAGATGGCCGAGGGACAGTAGGGTGAAATGGGATGAATAAGGTCAACATGAGGGAAAGACCAGGTTGGTAAAGAAGCCAGAGAGCAGGCCCACCTACCCACATTTCTGTTTTCATCATCATTTCTCCTTTACAATGTGCAGACATGAGAAGGCTAAGGAAATGAGAAGACCCCCATCAGTTTGCCCAGAGCCCATCATGAGACTGAGGGGTATACACCTAGCTTCAGAGTCTAAGCACTGGACAGGAAGCCCGGATGCCTCATTGCCATTGGCACAGGCCCTCTGGCCCCTCTTAGGCCCTCCTTGGATTGGAAGGAGGGTGAGGGGTTGGAAGCGACAACTCAAGCCCAGTCTGGTTCTGAAGCACCCCAGATCTTGTCCTTCAACCTCAGAGCACTGTCACTGCGCCACCCTGGGCCCACACCCAGCCTCTAGGAAGCAAGCCTGACTTCTCCATTCCTCCCCTCCCACCGGCTCAAGTTGCCTCAGGCCAGGGATGCAGGAGATGGTCTGGGTTCTGTGGGAATGCAGAGGCCCAGGCCTAACCACACCTGTCAGGTTTAGGGTGGGGGTGGGAAAAGGAGATGGAAATGCTCTTGTGCTATTTCCCCCCCTCATTTTTAACGAAAACAAATCTGTGGGATTGTAAACGGGAATATATCACCATTCTTAATTAAGAGAGAATTAAAACAGCAACAACAATAATGGGAAGAGAACCACGAAACCTGGCTTCTGGTCTACCTTTTTTTTTTTTTTTTTTTAAAGCTGTGTGACATTGCTCAAGTCACTCAACTTCCCAGGGCCTCAGTTTCCTTATTAGTAACACAGGATGACATGTCTCTGACCAAAAACCTCCACCCTGTCTGCCTCAGACGACTGTGGCAAGAAGGGAGTCAGATGACAGGAATGAGAACCTTCCATAAATCACTGCTGTCCGATAGGTAATCCAGAACACCTAGTCCCTCGGACACAAGCCCCTGCTCCCACACCTGCTCGCCCGGCCTTCGAAGGCTATGTAGCAGAGGGAAGCTCCGATACCATTGAACCGGTCCCACACACTTGGGCCCATGTCCACAGTGAGGGTCTGAGGCACACATGTCAACGTTGCCACAGGGTCCACTGCGGTGGGACTTGCAGAAAAGGAGGCTCCTCCTGCCCCGAGTTCCAGGACAGGGTGGGCAGCGCCCCTTCGGGGAGTTCCCTACCGCGTTTGCGCCAGCAAGGCCCCTCCCGCACGGAATAGGACAGCTCCACGAACTCGATGTCCACCGCCGAGCGCTTGGGGAGGTGGGAGAAGCGCTGGGCTTCGGTGATGTGATTCTCCACTTTCTTCAGGTGCGTGGTCAGCACGGGGGGCTCCGCCCCGTCCTCCAGCGCCACGGCCATGGTTACAGCCCCGGGTCCTAGTCCACAGCCCACGGCCTCCAGAGCTTTATCCGCCATCATACCGCCGCCTCCGTCCGGCCTGCTGGGGAGGGCCTGCTCACTTGGGGACAGACACTGCGCCCCGACTGGGCTCCACGCTCCTTTGCTTTCTAATTCTGCCCCCCGCCCCCACCCGTTCCCCGCCTCCTTCTCAGGGTAGAGCCGCCACTGTCAGCACCCCACTTCCCAGGGCCTGGACAGCACCACCACCCAACTCCCTTTCCCGGGGCAGCCACCCTCTGTCCCGACCTGTCCATGGTCCTGGGCCGTCCCAGCCCCGGGCCCTTGAAGCACCCCCTCTGGCTCCCTCCTCCCGGCACTGGCGCTAAGCTCCTTACCCTACAGGCCGGCAGACCCTGGGGACTCGCTGGTGGAGGGGGTGGGTGAGCTGGAGCAGTCGCTGCCCGCTAGGAGGGCAGGATAGCAGGGTGAGCTCAGGGTGGACCAGGGGAAGGGAGAAGGCTGG